GAAATGCTGAGCTGAGTGGCAATTGCCATAAAAAGTGGAGTAAAAATGGTGATAATTTGAAGGTTAGTCGATAACGCAGCCTTCCACACGTGCTGTTCACGTTTACAAGTGTGGGAGGGTCAATGGGACTTACAAGTAGTTTTATCCACTTCTCTTTCCAGCATGCCACGCCTCGCATTCAGTCATCAGCACTTTTAATTTTTTTTCATGATGTATTTTCCTTGTCTGGACAGCTCATGAGGCGGCAGGCAGATTTTGCAATAGGGTACCTCAAAGATCTTTAACGCTTCATGCAGGCACCCTTCCAAACATGAAACAGATCGAATTTAAAAAAAAAAATTACCTCAATAAAAAAACTGGAGAAAAAAACTTTGGCAGGCTTTTGAAATGAACCGTAGCTTATATATGGATTTCTACAGTTACAAATGCATAGGTGTTTTTCACTTAATGTTGGTGTATGCAATTATGACTGTAACTGGGTAGCCCGCGGCTCCTTGAAGGGTTCAGCTTTTTCTGCGCTTTGTGTGGTTGCAGTCACCAGGCTGTTTGTATTTAGCATTTTTTATCATCACACTTGTATTGTAGTGAAGTCACTTATAAAACAAAGCTGTAAGATAATGCTTCTGACGCGCTTGTAGTGTGTAACCACCGTCACAGATTCCAGTAGAAAATTAGCCTTCCGTAACTTTGTTATGGACAATAGATAGCTCTGTGTGTATGATGTAGGATTTGGAGTTGGTTTTCAAAGCATGGAGTGGTATCATACTCATCTAATAACGTGTCTGTATTACTTTTAGTACTTGGGAGGCAAAGCAAGGTCCGGTGAAGGATGCCTACAGCCTGGCTAACAACCCTCAGTACAAGCTGGAGGTGCAGTGTCCACAGGGCGGTGCTGCTGTCTGGGTTCTGCTCAGCAGGCACATCACAGATAAGGTGCCGGGTTCTTTTTCTGTGTCATAAGTTCTGCAACATCTTCTGTAAATCTTTCTCTATAGCTTTCTGTTATTAGTATATTACTGCTTCTGTTTTCATGTTCAGGTATGTATGCCTATGTATAAGTTTTAAATTCAGCAGGTACATGTACCTACAAACAAGATTGTTGACATCAGACTCAGAGTTAAAAAAAAAAATGGAGCTAAGCGATTACATTCCACCATAAAGGTTCTGAAGTAACTTTGAATCCCGGGGCCTGAACTGTTATAAGTGAAATTAGTGGCAGTTTATTTACTGCAGGTATTTTAAAAAGAATTGGATCGGGTATCTCAGTAATACAAATATCAGCTCATACCGTGTGGTGATCAAAGGGGATGACAGAACGCATACTTGATTCTGATTAAGCGTTAGTTACGTTCCACACAAGTGTACAACTCTACTTGATTTGTGTTTTTTATAGGATGACTTTGCACACAATCGGGAATTCATTACAATGGTTGTATACAAGACCGATGGCAAAAAAGTTTACTATCCAGGTTAGTGTACCTTAATTGTCAAGAAGCTTACGTTAGAAATAAATGAAGAATTGCAAAGGATTTTGTGGAGAGGAAAGGCGAGGCACTTTTTGCTTTAAAACTGGATGCCTCGTTTTCAGAGGTCAGTCTTCTGAAATAGTTGCTTAGCTCTGTTTGACCACCTTCAACAGTCTGCACTGAAGGAGTAAACCAAGCTGTACGTGTTGGAAGCACGCCGAGAGGTCTGCGTAGTCCTGCTGACACTTACTTTGGCATAGCATTTTCTTTATTGTTCTGTTTATTTTGCAGGGCAATAGTTAATGCTTAGAGGGAACAGATGTTGTGCTTCTGTTTATCTGATAGCTTAATTATTTCCTGTGTTTGTGAAATTATTTAAAGGTTTACGGCTTCCACTAAATGAAAATAATCAAGGTTAATTGTTCTATGAACTTGGCTTAGTAAGGCACCTAAGCAAGCTCATGAGATATAGCTGAACAACATATTTCAAAGTATCAGGTATGGAATGTTTAAGAAAAATATTTAGATGTTCAAAAGTTATCAAAATACTACTCTTGGTCATTATAGGTCAGATTCTACTCACCTTGAGAAGAAGGGGCTTGGCTTTTGGAGCTTTGTTGTAGCTGCGAAAAAGCCATCTATGTTTTATTTCAAGACAGATAGCAGATGTGAAACAGGTTGAGGCACAGGAAGGAAAGGTAATGCCCAGATTGAACGGATAGGGTAGACTGCAACTTTAAGGTAGAGCTCATAATGCCATGGTTTTATTTATTCTTTACATCAAGTTAGAGATCTCTGTAAAAATATTCCTTGGAATAATTCAGTGAAGATGCATCCTAAGACAAGTAGGATTTGGCCTGTTGCTTTTACAGAGGGAACCTCTTTAGGACCAGGGTTGCATTTGGGGAGCTGCTCATGCAACAGGTAATAGCAGCAGTTAATTAGAGAATAGCTTTTAAAGCGAAGAGTGTAATTTGTGGGGGTTTTTTTCCTATTGGAATGGCTGGTAAGGGTTGCGTTGTTAATCTCCGGGCTTGTTCAGTGAACGCTGCCAACCAATTCCCCAAGAATCCAAGCTGTCTGTCTTTCTGTGGAAGGCAACTGTTGAGACCTGAGCAAATCATTGTCCGTTTTTGCAAGAGCTGATCTTGTTAAAGCATCTGCTGCTTCTTACAGCCTGAGACTTGCTGCTGGTGTTGCTAGTACTTGCAGCAGCATTTATTATACACTTGTGCCTTAGTGAAAACACCCGTAAGTGGGCAAACCAAACACACTTGGGTGGTGGAGGGAATTGTTCAGTTGGGCTTGAAAGAGACAGTCTGCCAGGAAGACCATTAGCAAGAACTGGACGATTCATATGTTTTGTCTTGCTACCCAAACTCTTTTATAAACTTTTAATCTCACAAGCTGGAACTTTTTTAAAACCTTTTTCCATGGAAATAGATTGGTCAAGCTGCAGTATTATTTTTACCATCTGTTAAAATGAGATCAGAACAAAGCAGGTTAATCCTTTGGCAGTGAGCCTGAGATTTCCTATTCCTAAGCTTCTCATTGTTTTATATTAATCCTTTCCCCTTCTCCCATGTTGCTTTGTGGAAGAAAATAAAAGGACCTGATCCTGGGCCTATTGAAGTAATTGGCTAGACTTGTTCCCGCTTCCCTGAAATGAAAAGAAGTCTGGCAAGAACCAATTAGAGGCCAAGTAACAAATTACAATGTCTAATTGTAAAAGCCAATATTTGGAATGTTTATAATGAGTACCGCGTGTGCATTGGTACTGGGATGCAACTACATCTGTGTAATGATCACAAGGATTTGGAAAGACAGGGAATGATTTAGTTAAAGAAATTAACATGTTTTAAAGTCTTGTTTACCCAGTGGCCAAAGATTTTGGCAGCTTGTATTCTGGAACCGTCCAGCCAATGGAGAAGGAACAGATGCCTCAGAGAGATTCTTGAAGAGTGCTCAAACATTCCTTATCTTTCTCTTTAAATTTCAGCATAATCACAGGAGGTCTTCTTTGAGTACTGACATTGGTGGGAGATGGATAAGCAGTTCTTGCAAGTCATGGGAGTAAAGCTGTACTTTCAAGTGCAGAATTTGTGTCCTGTCATGTGTGGTGTACCTCTCCTGGAAACGATAGTTGCTCTTAAGGTTATCTGTCCTTTTTAGGAACAAATCTTGAGCTTCTGTTCTTTTGAGAGCGCTCAGGTCTGCCTGCAGACTAACCTCAGTACCAAGAGGTACTGACTTCTGTGGCAAAATTCACTGATATAAAATGGCTAAGTAGTTTACCAAGCTGGGGGACTTTTTTGATTGGGGAAAAGCGTTCATCCTTTTCTTTTTCAGCTGATCCTCCTCCGTATATCGATGGTATTCGGATCAACAGTCCTCACTATCTGACCAAGATAAAGCTGACCTCTCCAGGGCCCCATACGTTTACCTTAGTGGTGTCCCAGTATGAGAAACAAAACACTATCCATTACACCATCAGGGTACGTACTGTTGGTTTCATAATGAATGTAAACAACTAAACTATAAAGTGTCCTTTATTTGTAAGTACGATTAAAAAAAAGTGTACTTCTGGATCGATATTGTTATTTTGGGGAGGAAGGCTATGAACAATGGAGCAGAATCACTGGATGAAGCGTTTGATAATATTCTCCATTTGTAGTTAAGACAATATAGTAGGTGTGGGTTTTAGTAATGACATTTTAGTAACAAAATCAGCTGAAAAACACTTCCTAGAATAAAAAATTAATATCTGTGTACAGACAGAGCATTGGCTCTCTATGTATCCAAGATAAGCCTATTAAGATTTAAAGTTTTTGGACTTCTGTAAGTCTTTGGACTCAGTATTTGGGTTTTTCTGAAACTGCTGAGTCATGTGATGTTCAATCCTAGATGTCTCTTTTTGTCACTGAAAAAAGTAAAATGCATGTTGTTTCCTTTTTTTTTTTAAACAAAAAATTAGGTAGAACTAAGTCTTGTTATTCCCAGCGCTATTCTGGATTTTGAGTTTCAGACAGGGTTGTCTGAGTAATATAGGCAGGTAGTGAACAAGTATCTAAAAATGACGTGTAGGCAATTCTGCTTTGTTTAACGTGTCATGATGTCATTTGAAAAGTGCAAGATGAATGTGTGACCAGCTGCTTCTTTTACAACACAGGTGTATTCCTTGTGCAAGTTCACCTTTTCCAAGATTCCTACACCTTACACCATTTCCAAACGGGTAAAGAAATGTTTTCTTTTACGGGTCACTGGATAATAATTCTTGTTTGGCTTTTCCGTATTTGAGATGTACAAGGTTTTTAAATATATTTTTCTACTACTGCCCAGAAATAGCAGCTTAGGCCATCTTCTAACAAATGAAACTTCTTAACTAAAGTTTAATCTAAGCATCATAAGTACAGCATTGGTCTTGTGCTAAAGTTACACACAATTTGCCAAACAATTAGCTGTGCTGTTAGCATAATTCATGCCAACATATAATTCAAACCAAAGGCACCAGTAGCAAGACTGTGACAAACGGACTTAGGATGGCACTATCACAATACATGACTGTTTCTAAATTTTGCAAAGACATCATCTTAAAGGTCTGTAACCATCGGGATAAGCACTCACATTGCCAAACAGGATCAAGGCAATATACCCGTGGTACATTTCATGTAGAAACATTCCCTGAGAGTACAGCGACAGGGGCAAGAACCAAAAACTTGACTTGAAATTAAGTCAGAAGCCCAGGCAGTTTTGGGGCCAGCTGCTGTTCCTATTTCAGCTGTCAACATGAGCTGCAGTTTTACCTTCAGCTAAAGTAGCATAAATATAGCCAAGAGCTCACAGGATAAAGTAACTTGCCTGTATTTTCCTGTATTAACAATTTTATCCTCAAGAAAGAATAAGCCAGCAGCTATTAACTTTAAGCTCTGTACCTACCATGCATACCCTGGGTAGGCAGAAGTCTTCTGTCCGAACAGAAGCCTCTTCAGGAAGAGAGAAACCAGGTGAGTTTGAGCCGCAGTGGAAGAGTCTGTTTTGTAGGACGCTCATGCCTGAAGCCAAGGATGACATTGCTTTGTGTGGGCAGGGGGACATGTTGGCTTGCAGCTAGGCTCTCGATTTCTGACAGCATTTCGTACCAGCTGTTAGTTCTGGTTGAGGCTAGCCCCTTCTGAAGAGTAGTAAGTGGCTAGAGAGATTCCCGGGAACAGCAAGATGATTTGCTTGGTTCTTCCAGAAACCGTTGTCTTTTTCTAGCTCTTCAAAAGTGGGCTTAGTTTGGGGGGAATGCTTTTAAGAGGTCAAAAACTCATTGAAGGTGACCAGCCTGCTTGAGGCAGGACATCTGTTTTATGTTGTATTATGTTTCAAAAGAAAATTAGGTATGTGGAAACCTCCTGTGAATTATTTGAAGATGTCTGTCTAGTATTCAAATAAAAGGCATGTTCTATCTATCCAATTTATAATTAAATACAAAAAGTTAGTTGCCTCTGCTGAATTAATGCTTATTTGGTGGTGGCTTAGCCAGCCATCACACTTAAAAACAAGCAGATAACAAATTCACAGCAAAAGCAAGTTAGATGTCGTCCACTAAAGTTGAGTGGTCACCTCTGGAGCTCCCCAGGCCGTAAGGGGATTCCTGGAACCAAGTGCAGCGGAGGTGGAAAGGGCCTGTAAATCTAACAGCACACAGCAGTTGTGGGTTCCTGGGTAGCAGCATGGTGGGGGGAGGAATCCCCCTTGCTTCCAAACTTGCCACGTTTGAGGTTTTTGGACACTGAGTAAAGAAATTAAATCACAAGAAAAAAAATGTTGCTCCTTGCCGATTTGACAAAAAGGGGAGGGCAGTAGCAGGAGAAATGGATCTCAGCTATAAATTTGTGTGAATGCCTGGCGTGTCTTACAAGTCTAACCTTTCAGTTTAATGACTAGCAGGAGGAACTTGCAAACAGATGGCCTGCTTCACAGAAAGTCAGAGCAGCGTTTTTCATCCTGTATGTCTTTGTCCTTGAGGAGGCTGTCCTTACGGATATCTTGTCCCCGTAATGCTGGTTCTCATAGTACAGAGAGGTGGATGGACAGGGCTGGAGGCAGCCATTTCGAAAGCAACGGTTACCACACAAGTAGTGTTGTACTGCCTGAACCACTGTCATTTCTCATTTAGCGCGACAGAGCAGTGTCTGAGCGAAAAAAACCCAACCTGCATAATCCAGTAGACATGGGATAGACGGGAACATAGCTCTTTCCTTAGATGCAGTTTGTCACAGACACAGTCACTTGTTACGTACTCAATACAAGCTGAAAAAAATACAAGACCCTTCTAAGGGCTCTAAGGCTTTGATCAAGGTGGGTGGAGGACTGCAGTGAAACTTCTTGAGTGCTCAACGCAGTCTTTCACTTGCACTTTACAAATTAGGAGAGATTACTAAAGTTGGTGACCTCTAAAGCGAGAGGAGCCTCCAGTCTTGTTTGCGTGTATAAATAAGCAATACCAATCCTCAGGATAGAAAGTATTTTCTGTACTTTTGACTTCTTTCAGGTTAATGGACAGTGGAAAGGTCACAGTGCTGGAGGATGTGGCAATTTCAGAGACACCTACAAAAATAACCCCGTTTACCAATTCCAGCTGGACAAGAATGGACCATTACTAATTGAACTGCGAGGACCAAGGTTTGTAGCGAATAAGCGTGCACCAACGCAGCGGGAGTATTACGTGCTAAAGAGAAAAGCTTTGTCAGGATCCCCCATGGGGAGGGTGGGAAGCTCCCTGAAAATCTGGAAGACAAGGTATGGGAGGGGGCTCAGATTTAGTGCTATTTATGTTTCTAACTTCACCATCAATAGTGATTTAAACCTGCACATTTGCTACTGAGGAAATCCTTGACCTACAATGAAAGCAGGAGCCTTTTTTCTCTTTAGTTTTGGGGCCTGAGCAGAGCTAGGCCTTGCACAGAAGGGAAAAAGGTACAAAGGACTTTTTTCTTCCTTTTAAAACTAATTCTGATCATAATTCCTTTTCTTTTGTGGCAGAGCTAAGATGCAGGATAGTAAACCCTTACAGGCTCTCAAACAACGGCCTATGCAGTAGCTTCAGCTCTGAACGTGCATTAACTCTGCTGCTGGCAGGCCAGGAGAAGTATTGGATGTCAGTGCAGGTCCAAGTCCTTTAGCAAAATTCACAATCTACCTCAAAATACCAGTATATGCGCTCCTAAACAGCAACATCTCCTGACACGCAGTCAAGTGTGAATCTTTTGCAAAGCTGTACGGAAGCGGCAGCACTTTTCTATCCATCCTCCCCTCTCTGAGGCAACTCCTCCTCTCGTGAACTGAAGATGAGCCCAAAGGCATGGCTATACCGTCCCACTAAGCAAGGGGGCTTTTTGTATGCGGGTTTTTTCCTGCACTTGCAGATCATAATTGGGCAGTTTGAACAACAGGGGCAGTGGTGCCTGTTCCGTGTGTTAACAGGTAGTAGACAAACTGTCCCAAGTTAAGAAATTCTGCAGAGATCACAGACATCGATTCCTCTGATAGCGATTGGATCACAACCCAGGATCTGTGCCCTGTGGCCCAGGAGTGCGTCACCGCAAGTTTAACTACTTGAAGTCCGCTTAAACGCGGAGGCAGACTTCTAGCAGGCATTTTCCACAGAGTCTAGTTCCCAACCTGCAAAATGTTCTGTCTTCCTCCAAATTCTATATTCATGTCATGGTAACCTTGACTTAACCTTTCTGTCACAAATGTGACAAAACTTTTAGATGTCTTTCAGTTATACCGTGTAGTTTTTAATAAATAGCCCCTCTTCATGGTAATCCTGACCACCCGAACAACTAAAGTAACAGTCTGTCTCATCACTTGCAGGCAATACAGCGTTGGCTTTGAACTCATCATGGTGTCGACAGTAGGAGATCCTGGTTCCTGTGGCTTTCAGAAAAAGAGCAGCGGTGACTACAGGTAATACTCGCTTCATGAAGTCTTAGAGGTTTGAAACATACTTTGGATCTTAGTTCTAACAGGTAGTTTTTTTTATCATAGGTGTGGATTTTGCTACTTGGAAGTGGAGAACATAGTTGCTGGAGTTTACAACATTATCCCCACCACATTCCTGCCTCAACAAGAGGGTCCTTTTTTCTTAGATTTTAACAGTGCTACTCCTCTTAAAGTATCGCAGCTGCAGTGAGGAGACAGATCTGTGCAGTACTGTTTAAGGAGGTGTTTTTCATCTGTCCTACAGGCTAAGAACAGGTGAATAACTCTTACTACACATACGCATCAAAGAAAATGACATTCTAAGTTATAGCCAAAAGCATGGAATCACCGATTTGCCAATTAATTGCGGTAGATGGTTAGCTGTGGGTTTTGCTGCTATGGTATTGGAGTGAGCACGCTTCAACAGGCTTGTGAACGGGCTAAAATGTTGATATTCAAATGAACTGGCAGAACTCAATTTACTGCATTTTTTCCACACTTCAAATCAAAGCCTAGTGAGTTAAAGAGAAAAACTAACATTGACATTCTCTTCTCCCAAAATACAGGGTATATGGGTTTAAGATTTTACTCTTAAAAGTAAACATGTAAGAAAAAATATTCTCGTGTATTCTGCTTATTCAGTCTCAGGACTAAACAGCTTTTACTACATATTTGTGCTGCTACCTTGAATGTTTTCAGCATTGAACTAGTTCTAACATCTCAATGTAAACTTACTACTGCTGAGCATGTGGTATTCCAGCCTAAGGTGTTCAGCTTATCTAGAATATGTATACAGGAGCAAAGCAAAAGGAAGATTCCAGCTTTAACTATTTCTAAAAGAAAAGCAATGGCTTCACTCATGTTACGTAGACGTTGAGAGCTGTTAATGCAGATCTGTATTACTTCAGTACATAATATAGCGTACCTTGTGCTGTAATGACTTTCTTCCGACTAGGAGTAAGACCTAGCTTGATCCAGATCAGCAGTAAAAGCAGATTAGCCAGCAGCAGCAGCAGCATACAGACAGGGCAGCACACCCTTCCTTTAGCAGGCGTGAAAGGTTTTCATCTAAAGGTGCACTGTAACATTCTCCATATCTACTGAGGTAGTCTCATCTGCTGGGATGAGATGTTTTATTCTTGTCATTTTTATACATAGGCAGCCTGTAGAGGAAGGATCATTTAAACATCTCCCTCCAATAAACCACGGCTGCAAGAAATGCACTCACTGACCCCCCCATTGTACCAGGCACCGTTGAAACGATACCCTTTTTTCCTGTAGGTTGAGACCAGTGAATGAATTCAGCACTTGCCCAGTGTCATCAACAGAAGTAGGGTCAGAGTTCTTAATAGTGGAAGTGGGAATAGTATAGAACAAGATTTTTTCAGAAGCCTATGATATGTGCTCTTCCTCTAGAAGATCTTCATAGGTTGTATCTGAAGAGGATTAAAGATAAACAGGTTTTTAATTGTAACTACTAACTGCCTCACAATGCATTATTTTTTTTTGTCTTTTGACAAATGGCAGACTTAAAATTCCACTATATTTGACACTTGGGGGAGAGGGTGTTTTTAAAACAGCCCTAGGAAGAAGTTCTTTGCCCTTCAGGTTGGTTTGGCACTTTTCCAAGCAAAAAGGTAGCATTTAAAGCTTATTTTAGAGCCCAGGTGCCTGTTGGTCATTGGGAAAGTGAGCACAGCTGCTACAAGAGCACCCAAAATATCACTGGGCTAAAATTATTCCCATAAAAGTCTGCTATTAGCCCTCTCCAGAAAGTACAAGATCCTTTTGTTTCATTTCCTTCATCAGACTGCCGCTTAACAAATGTCTGCCTTTCAAAGGGCACTGAGAACGCCTGCCTTTGAAAACACATGCCTTTCTGGCTGCGGTTCTCTCGGAGACCATCTGGGCTAGGAAATCGGTGACAAGTTTGTCACAGTGGGACTTACCTTCTTTTGCAGGGAAGTTTCAGATGATTATTGCGACAAATCAGAGGCAACAGCATAGGTGTACAAGCTGAACAAAAACCAGATTAGGTACTTGGGGGTTATCCTTGACTTTTGGAGTGGGTCCCAAGGACTGCTTCAGCCCTACAAAATTAAAATCTCATTCAACTTGTATTTTCTCTACAAATTTGTGTTAAGTTTTTTAGCTCAGGCTGAACTTAAGTAGCAATGGAGTCTTGCATCTATTTTATCACCTGTGAAGCTAGAGGCAGGTAGGAAGTTGCAGCCAAGTATCTCATCCTCAGCTGTATGAGATCAAGCTGACAGACTTGCCTACAATAAGATCTGTTGTTTTTCTGCAGCTGGTTTCTACACTGCAGGAAGGAGTTTTCTTTCTTCCCCACCCCCTCCAAGCACAAGCTAGTGCCAAAGCTTCTGCTGGATGAAACAAGCATAAGGCTCAGCTTCCATCATGTGCTAAGCTAAAAGCAAGGAACAGACTCACTTTCTTAATGCCAGACAAAGGACCCTGTCCCCACCAGGATCCCCTAACGCTTCTCACACACACAGTCCTGTCAGTGCATTGGGCTCATCCCTGTAAATGCACAGAATTTACGCTTAGCATCCTTTAGCACGCAAGTCCTGTTCAACTGTTGCACCTATGGAGGCTACTAGCATACCAGCACCGTACCTTTCCCTTCAAGTACAGGACTGAACACTCAGGGGGAGGATTTAGAAGGAAATACAAAATGTTCCTGTAAATTCTACTTGTATTGCATGTGGCAAATTAATTTTACAACCACACTTTCTTGCCCTTTTTCCTTAGGAAAAACAATTTTCATGTAAGCACTTATGATTTGCTTTCATATTTTCTCTCAAATACATACTTTTATATTTTTTCCACAAATAAATCTGGAAAAAAATATTGGAAAATGAACTGACCTTTGGATTTTAACACAGCCTCAGGCCAATATCTAGGTTAAACTTTTCTTTCCCCTATACAGTTTAGTGTTTTGATCCATATGACAGAGAATATTAGATGCTGATGTAAGCGTAGAAATGTTACGCAGCAAGACTTTTAGAAAGGAATAAGGCCTGCACACGTAAAAGTTTCAAGAGCTGCGCAACAGCCCAGACCATAACACAGGCACATCGGTCACCTTACCGTACTTCCAGTTAGACAGGCATGCACCTCCTTACCCTTAAGTCTTCTCTGCCTGTAAACATGCAATTCAAGCTTTTAAACATTAAAAATGCAAAGCCTCATAAAATACACCAACGATCATCCTGCATTCCGAAGTTGTTTGTCACAGACCATACAGCTGTGAGCTACAGAAGGAGGGGGATAACTGCCAAAAGGAAAGCCAGTTGCTGTCAGGGGCTTTAAGGGGATTTACGCTTTCTTTGGTGCGCTAAGGGAAGGCTACTACAAAGAAAGAATTTGTAATTCTCGGTTGGCAGTGCAGAGGGGTAACTGGAGACAGCCTCTTTGGAAGTTTTGACTCTCTCTGCCCCACGAGTCTGAGACTCAGTCCTAGTTTCCCGATGCAAGATTCCTGTAACTGTTTTACACAGTAATTGTGCACCTGACTACACAATCTCTGCAGTGTTTGAGCAGCCAGCTATTTAGAACCAAGTTTGTGTACATATAGTAGAGGTTTTCATCACTTAGTCAAAAAGGACACTTCAGTTGTTTGATAATACCAAAGAGCAGTAGAATTCCTAGGTTAACTTTGCTTTATACATTCTCACTTCAGCTGCCCTGAAGTGACCACGTATACTTTGAAACACCAAAGGCTTATTTTTATACCCATGAAGGCAGCTACCATCCCAAATGCATAAAGAGCTCCAACAGAAAAGTAACTGGAGAAAGCTTGTTTGTTTGCCTGTACTCCATAGTGATGTACATTCATTTAGGTTTGTCATATTTATAATTATGGCTTTTATGAAGTTTAAAATAAAATGAGTTTTCCGTTAATTTATTAGACACGCAGTCCTGCCTGTTTGCTTGCACGTTTGCAGGGTGATTTACCTGCCAAGTCCGGGGTCGCTGAAGGAAGAAGGCTGCAGCAAGATCTTTAAATAAATCTTGCAGAAGCTGGGTGTAAATGTAAGGGTAGGGTGGGTTCCGCACCTTTTCGTACTTCCTCCCGATCAGTGGTTTTATCCTGCTGGGAGCTGAACCCAATCAGGACATAGGCACAGCAGCACACACAACTATTGTTGTATCTTGCTGAACATAAAATTAATTCATTGCCCAAGTGCAGGAAGTTTGGGTTTCCAGTCAGAATTGGCAAGATGAGAGGAAATTTGATAGCAAGAGAGGTTAAAACACACAAAAAAATGCAACCAACCAAAACCAAAAAATACCCAAACAAGCCAGGAAAGTGTTAACAGGGGTTGACGGGCACATCTGCAAAAATAAGGTATTCCACCACAAATACCTCTGCGCATTTGTCTAACAGTATGCAGCACGGACAACAGCTTAACTGCCAAAGTTTAAGTACAAACATTTCACACAGTGTAGCATTTCTGTGCTGCTTTTCCTTTTGTATTCCGTCAGTCCCAGCTTCTCCCCAAGTATTGGTCACACAGAAGATGGAACCCCTGACTTCTTTCCTAAGCACCTACAGTGCTGGGAAATGCTACCAATGGCAAGGTTCAGCCTTCAAGTCTTTGGAAGATGTAAACATACAAATATTTAAAGCTATTGCAGCTTTACAGCTATAATGCATTGAATATAATTTTTATGAAAACAGGTTTCATCACCACCAATTCTGCACTGCCTCACAGCATGTTTCAGCAGCATTAAGTACAGAGGTGCTATGTTAACAGAATACCTTCCTTTTTTCTGCGTACTGAGAGTCTGGAAAACTCAACTAAAGCTCCGGTCTGGCGCAACTCCTCAGAATAAAAAGCAAATCACATACGCAAGGATTCAGGAAGCTGGGAGGAGGTAACAGTTGTCCCCGTACTGCAAAGGATTCTAATACCAGAGAGTGACCCAGGCCGCAATCTTCGACTGGGAGCGGATGTTTAAAGGCTAAACTTGCTGCGGGAGATTCAGTTCTCAGCGCTTGAGATAAGACCTAGCTTGCACAGACTCAAAACGTGGAAAACAAAAACGTTTACTGTAGTGTGAAGAATTTTACATTGACTTTGTGAATAGATACACAAGCTGTGGCAGGGACAAAATACAACAGGACTGCAAAAACATAGAATAGAAAATACTTTGGGCAATAGTAAAATTCCCATTAAATTAACA